GCAGTTTCAGCTCCAATTCTCCCTCATTCCAAGGCTGTAGGTTCTCCGTTCCCCCGGAGCCAGGGGGCCCTGACAGTCCCACTGCAGCCCCTGGCCTCTCGGGAATGGCTTTCCCACAGGTTTCCAGACTCACAACTCCTTCCTCTTGGCCAAGGGATTCCCCGGCTCGGCTTTGTGCTGCTGTGCAGTGATGCAGACAGGCTTCCCCAGCCCAGTGCTCCCATGCCCGTCGTTCTCCACCCCGAGGTGTGCTCTCTCGCCTCCTGGGAGGCCCCTAACTGCTGGGTTTTATCCTGCTCCGGAGGTAACTCCCAGATTAATACCTGGCCCCATTCCCCAGCTAGTGTGCTGCTCCCTTGAGCACCTGTGTCCTTAAATGGGCCATACCATGGAACGGGGTTAGCTGGCCCCAGGCCCCACTCCCTTTGAAGGGGAACAGAGTATCTTGTGCCAGTGCACGGCTGCATTTGGGAAGCCCTGCATTAGCTCATCGGCCCGGTCCCAATGCAGGATTGTCCCTTCCAGACGGTTCACCAAATCCCTGTGCGGCCTGGTTCCAAACACGCCGATGATCATTATTGTGCCTGGGCTGTCCAAGGAGCCGGTCCCTGCCCCAAGGACCTTACAATCTAAGGAGAAGCCAAGAGCCACCAGGTGGATACGGGTAGCTGTGGGAAGGATCCGGAGACAGAGGAATGATGGCTAGCCGCAGTCCAGCACGCCGCTCGCCTCATCGTTGTCTAGCTTGTGGTAGGCAGCAGGGGAGAGGGGAGTTTTAGTCTGTGTGGTGGGGTTTCCACCCGTGCCTTTAGGGCAGTGGCTCTCAGCCTGGGGGCGCAGGCGGCCCAGTTAGCACACAGCTGTCGCCCAGCTGTGTGCTAAAAAAAAATTCAAAATTTGCCACTGTGATCTGAAAGGGGGTGGGGCTGGCTGAGGGGGCGACAGTGTCTGGCGGCCTGCTGGAGCGCTCCTGCCAGCAGGGGGCGGGTGAGTGCAGTGGGGGGCAGGGTGTGGGACAGTGGGTTTCTGGGCAGGTTTGTGGGGAGGGGGAATGCTCTGGGCAGTGAGGGGGTGGGGGCAGCGGGTAGCAGAGGTTTTTGGGGGTGTTAAAGTACCCCCCAGGTTTTAGGCTGCCTGGCCCCGTGTGGTGGGCTTCGGGGTCTGGCTGCCTGGCTCCAAGGTGTGGGGTCCGGCTGCCAGGCCCCACGCCCAGGCCTCTGCTCCTGGCCCCGCTCTGCGGGGGGTGCTGGGCATAGGGGACTGTGGGGGGCTTTGCGGGGGGCACTGTGGTTCTCAACCTGCAGCCCATGTACCATATTGTGGGCTGCATACGCACCCCACAGTGCTAGAGGTTGAGAAGCACTGCTTTAGGGGTGCTAGGTCCCAGTGGGAGGATATGTGCCCAGGCCTGATTTCATCCTTCGCTACAATTCCTCTCCTGCCGTGGCACTCACGCCCCTCCGGGACGGGTCCAGCTTTGGTCCGTGCTCGGCCGCACCCAGCATGCTTTGATCTTCCAAGCAGGCCTCCGAAATCAGCCCTCCCCCGCCCCAGACCTCTCCTAGCGTTGCTTTAACCCCCTCCCCTCCCCTTGCCCGGCTGCGGGTTTCCGGCCCACTCTGGGGAAGCAGAGCCGCGTTTGGCAGGGAGCGGCTCGTACGGACAGGAATGTCTTGGCAGGACGGGATTTCTGTTAGCGAACCAGATGTTTTAGCAACGGTTGATACTGCAGCGGGCCTGGCCCGACTCAGCGATTCAAAGCACGCTGTTTCAAATAGCAGGGCGTGCGCTCCCCCAGCCCCTGCCTCGCCCTTGTCACGTCCTCTGGGTCGTACCTCTGCTCCCCCCTCCCAAAGCCTCCCTCCCGGATGCTGTTGGAAGTTTAGGGAGCTAGTTAAAATGTCATCCCCCCTTTCCCCCTACAGACCAGAGCTGTCCACTCCAGCAGGGGGCAGTAGGGACAGATAGACAGACACCGCCCCCCCTCCCCTCCCATGCACATACAGAGCAGGGCTATCCCCTCCGGGGTTGGGGGAGGGACTTGGTATGGATGGACAGACATTCTTCTCCCCCCTCCCCACAGAGCCAGGCTGTCCTTTCTAGCAGGGGGCAGTAGGGACGGATAGACAGACCAACGTGCCCCCCCCCCCCACACACACAGCAGGGCTGTCCCCTCCAGCATGCGACGGTAGGGACAGACACGCGTGCCCATGCCCCCCACCTGCTGCTTGGAGGAAGCTATTCCTGGTGTTACATAACAGCCCAGTTGTCCCAGCCCAGACCATGGAAGTGACCAAAGCGTTGCACCCTCCTGCGGCGGGTGAGGACAGGAGGTAAATAAAGCTAATAAGCTGGCGGGGGCTAGGCAGCACCATGCCATCGTGCCAGGGCCTGTAGGGATGGTGCCTGGGGTGTGCATGTGATCCCAGCGCCCTTCAGTGATGAGCGCCCCCCCCCCCACCTCTGCTAGGGGACTGGGGTCTCCGGTCGCCCAAGGATGGGAACTTGACGGGGCTTGTCTTGGCCAGAGGATTAACCCAGGGGTTGCCCCTCACCCCCTCCTGTCCACACATCACATGCTGTGCCCCAGCTAGTTGGCCCCATGGAGGGGGGTGCTGCCCAAAAAAAACAGTGGAAGGGGCCCGCTGTGGAAGACGCCTCCCCCCTGCCAAAGAGGGGTTTGGGCTGGGCCAGCGTTCCCAGTTCAATCCGCTGGACGTGTTCCACGCTCAGAGCAGCGGGGGAATCAAGCCCCGGGCCTCAAAGCTGCAGATGGGTGACGTCTGCCACCCATCTGACTCTATCCATCTAGCTCCCACGCCGGCCTCCATCTCTGCAGTCTCTGAGCGCCCCCTCCAGTCTGCGCATCTCCTGGAAAGCCAGTCCGGCGCTGGGCAGTGTCAGACAAGGGGGACGGGCCAGCGGTTTCACGTAGTGCTCCGGGGATAGAATCATAGAATATCAGGGTTGGAAGGGACTTCAGGAGGTCATCTAGTCCAGCCCCCTGCTCAAAGCAGGGCCAATCCCCAGACAGTTTTTTACCCCAGATCCCTAACTGGCCTCCTTAAGTATTGAACTCACAACTCTGAGTTTAGCAGGCCAATGCTCAAACCACTGAGCTATCCCTTCCTGCCAGATGGCAGAGCTTACCAGCTGGTCACTGGGGTTGATCCAGATCTGGGTGGGGGTGGGATGCAAACAATCCCCCCTACCTCCAGCATCACTGCACAGTTATTTATCTGTCAGCTCCTGCAAGGTCGCCTTGCCGCCTGGCTTCTCTCTTGTAACTCCAGCTGCGCCCAAAGGGAAGCTGACCGTCCATGCATTTATTTTCTGGTCTGTGACCATCTGGGCTGGGGAGAGCCCACACTCCCCTCCCACCCGCCCTGCTACACAGGGCCTCCAAGCTGCGTCTTTCCCGGGCCCGTAACTCCACGCCCCTCTCCCAGTTGAGATGTGGGATGTAATGAGTGGTTCGGGGGAGGCAGGAGCCTAGCGTGTCTGAGCGGAATTATACGCCTGAGTCCCACCAGGGTAAATCTGGAGTGACTCCTCCTGGTGCGGTTACACCAGAGTCACAGAGCCGAATTTGGCGCTAGGGGTGGCGATTCGATGAGCAGGAGGAGGCAGGGTGCGGCTGCCCTTTGGGATTATGGGAAAAAGGGCTTGAGCTCACTAGGCCAGTGCTAAGAAACCTTGGTTGATCTCCGAGCCCCCATCCAAAAGTACCTCCAAAGGCCCGGTTGTCTGTTACCCCATCCCCACCATAAGCATAGGAAGGGCGGGGGAAGGGTGGCTCTATGATCCCCTTGCGCTTCCAGTGTTCCCAGATCCGCCAGAGTAGGTTAGAGCAGCCTTTGAGCTGCTCTAAGTTCTGCTCTGGGGTGCGAAAAGAACCACTACAGCACTCCCCGTCCCCCTCTTTCAGGGAGACCCCTCCAGTGTCAAAGCAGACTTGTCCAGGTGGGGCTCACGCAGTCACCTCTACCAGGGAGGCCAGAGGAGGTGGTGATTTGTAGGAACCTGCCGGGTCTGGCAAGGCTCCTGGGGGCTTGCCAGTTCCAACAGGTTGGGCCAGTCTCCGCACTGTCCTGCCAGCTCTGCTGGGGCTGGAGCGGCTGAATTGCCTGTGGATTCGAGAGGAGCGGGTGGAGATAGGTTTAGCTGCTCTGTGTATCTATGGCTCCCATCCCCGGCATATCTGAGTGCCTCTCAGCCTGTGATGGATTTGTTCCCCCCCCCGCCCCCCCCCCCCAACAGCCCTGTGAGGTAGGGCCATGCTGTTATCCCCTTT